AACATCACTGGACCTAGAACGGATCCCTGAGGGATCTCACTCAACATGTCTTTCAGCTTGACTGTGAACTACTGATAACTACTATCTGAAAACGTAATGAGAAAGTATGTACTCATGACTAGGTGACTGTTCTGCAAATGTCTTGGACTGGGACATGAGCCAAAGATTGCTAATGAAGTCTGAACTCTCATCAAATGGGCTGTGAAGATGTCAGGTAGTAGGACTCCTGTCTTCCCACAGAATGTGTGAATTCAGGGAATTACCTAGGATGAAATTTTCTAGGCCTAAACTGATATAGGTCTTTGATCCTGTCTGCTACTGTTTCAAAAATCTGTGTGTATTTATGGAATAGCTTGATTCCCTCCATGTAGAAGGCTAGGGCACATCTAACATTCAGCATGTGCTGACACCATTCCTCTGTGTTCTTGTCTAATTTTGGGAAGAAAACAGGCAGGAAAATAGTCTGCTACGAAACCGGGAGAGTTGAACCTTGTCCTTAATGAACACTGTTAATGGGATTCTGAAGTCAGTCCTGATTTTTGAGACTCTTCTGAATGAGACTCTTCTCTTCCAGGTAAGATGCAACAAAGCCATGCTAGCAGCTCAAAGGAGGTCATGTCACAAGGAGGAAGGAGAAAATTTGTTCCTCTTGGTTTCTGAGAACAGGACAAGGAGTAATGGGCTTAAAGTGCAGCAGGGGAGGTTTAGATTGGACATTAGGAAAAAATTCCTAACTGTCAGGGTGGTCAAATATTGGAATAAATTGCCAAGGGAGGTGGTGGAATCTCCCTCTCTGGAGATATTTAAGAACAGGTTAGATAGACATCTGTCAGGGATGGTGTAGACAGAGCTTGGTCCTGCCTTGAGGGCGGGGGGCTGGACTCGATGACCTCTCGAGGTCCCTTCCAGTCCTATGATTCTATGAGAGACTTGATAGGACCAGGAGTAGGTCCCATAGAAGGGCAGACTTGTGAGTTTGAGCATAAAGCCTCTCTAGACCAATCCTAATTAACCTATTCATAAACGATCTGGAGAAAGGGGTAAACAGTGAGGTGGCAAAAATTGCAAATGGTACTAAACTGTTCAAGATAGTTAAGACCAAAACAGACTGTGAAGAACTTCAAAAGGATCTCACAAAACTAGGTGACTGGGCAGCAAAATGGCAAATGAATTTTAATGTTGATAAATGCAAAGTAATGCACATTGGATAAGCCAGCGGGGCTTCTGTTTTTAAAATGTACAAGAGCCCTGCTGGGAATCTTATACATTTCAAAAGCAGAATCGCAGCAGAAGCGGCATAAGGGGAAAACTGCTTCAGTCTCTGTTCACGCCATTTCCCACTGTGCCTCTACCTCCCCTGCCCCCGGTGGAGATGGTGCTGAGGGACACCAGCTTGTAAGCCAGCTCCTGCTCCCCCAGCCCTCTCTCTGACAGAGGCAGCAAGGGGTGGGGGGCAGGAAGCAACTAGTTGCATCATTAGTTGATTATCTAATAAGCTTATGCTTATGGGATAGTCAACTAGTCACATACATCCCTATGGTATGCCACATCTTGAATACTGTATACAGATGTGGTCACCTAATCTCAAAAAAGATACTAGCCTTGGCATTGGAAAAGGTTCAGAAAGGTTGGAAAAGGTTCAGAAAAGGGAAACATTGGAAAAGGTTGGAAAAGGTTCAGAAAAGGGAAACAAAAATGGTTATGGGTTAGGAATGGGTGCCATATGGAGAAAGATTAAAAAAGAGTCTCAGGGGTTATATATAATAGAGGTCTATAAAGTCATGACAGGTATGGATAAAGTGAATAAGGGAAAAGTTATGTACTTGTTCCCATAACATAAGAACTAGGATTACCACATGAAATTAATAGGTAGCAGGTTTAAAACAAACAAAAGGAAGTATTTCTTCGTGCAGCACACGGTCATTCTACAGAATTCCTTGCCAGAGGATGTTGTGAAGACCAGGACTTTAACAGGGTTCAAAAAAGAATCATAGAATACTACGACCGGAAGGGACCTCAAGTGGTCATTGAGTCCAGTCCCTGCCCACATGGCAGGACCAAATACTGTCTATACCATAGATATTTATCAAATCTACTCTTAAATATCTCCAGAGATGGGGATTCCACAACCTCCCTGGGCAATTTATTCCAGTGTTTAACCACCCTGACAGTTAGGAAGTTTTTCCTAACGTCCAACCTAAAACTCCCTTGCTGCAGTTTAAGCCCATTGCTGCTTCTTCTATCCTCAGAGGCCAAGATGAACAAGTTTTCTCCCTCCTCCTTATGACACCCTTTTAGATACCTGAAAACGGCTATCATGTCCCACCTCAATCTTTTCTTTTCCAAACTAAACAAACCCAATTCTTTCAGCCCTCCTTCATAGATCATGTTCTCTAGACCTTTAATCATTCTCGTTGTCCTTCTCTGGGCCCTCTCCAATTTCTCCACATCTTTCTTGAAATGCGGTGCCCAGAACTGGACACAATACTCCAACTGAGGCCTAACCAGCGCAGAGTAGAGCGGAAGAATGACTTCTCGTGTCTTGCTCACAACACACCTCTTAATGCATCCCAGAATGATGTTTGCTTTTATTGCAACAGCATCACACTGGTGACTCATATTTAGCTTGTGATCCACTATAACCCCTAGATCCCTTTCTGCCGTACTCCTTCCTAGACAGTCGCTTCCCATTCTGTATGTGTGAAATTGATTGTTCCTTCCTAAGTGGAGCACTTTACATTTGTATTTATTAAACTTCATCCTATTTACCTCAGACCATTTTTCCAATTTGTCCAGATCATTTTGAATTATGACCCTATCCTCCAAAGCAGTTGCAACCCCTCCCAGCTTGGTATCATTTGTAAACTTAATAAGCGTACTTTCTTTGCCAATATCTACATCGTTGATGAAGATATTGAACAGAGCCGGTCCCAAAACAGACTCCTGCAGAACTTCTACCTTTCCAGCTGGATTGTGAACCATTAATAACTACTCTCTGAATACGGTTATCCAGCCAGTTATGCACTCACCTTAAAGTAACCCCATCTAAGTTGTATTTGCCTAGTTTATTGATAAGGATATCATGCGAGACCGTATCAAATGCCTTACTAAAGTCTAGGTATACTACATCCACCGCTTCTCCCTTATCCACAAGACTCGTTATCCTATCAAAGAAAGCTATCAGATTGGCTTGTCATAATTTATTCTTTACAAATCTATGCTGGCTGTTGGCTATCACCTTGCCACCTTCCATATGTTTACAGATAATTACTTGCTCCATTATCTTCCCTGGCACAGAAATTAAACTAACTTGTCTGTAGTTTCCTGGGCTGTTCTTATTTCTCTTTTTATAAATAGGCACTATATTTGCCCTTTTCCAGTCTTCTGGAATCTCTCCTATCTCCCATGATTTTCCAGAGATGATAGCTAGAGGCTCAGATACCTCCTCTATCAGCTCCTTCAGTATTCTAGGATGCATTTCATCAGCCCCTGGTGACTTTTCTAGGTGATTTTTAACTTGTTCTTTTTAATTAGTTAAATTAATGGAGGATAGGTCCATCAAAACTTATTAGCCAGGATGAGTAGGAATTGTCTCTCTAACTTCTGTTTGTCAGAGGCAAGGGATCACTTGATGATTACCTGTTCTGTTCACTCTCTCTGGGGCATCGGCGTTGGCTGTTGTTGGAAGATGGGATGCTGGGTTAGATGGATCTTTGGTCTGATCCAGTATGACTGTTCTTATGTAAGAAGAAAAGTGCAGGAATGGCTGGGCCCCTCATACTGGTGCTTGAGTGCAGCATCTGAGACTGGTTGATGGATACCAGTGAGGGAAAAATCTCCAGTGATTGGCACACAGCATGCACACATCTAACATAAAATGGACATAAGCAAGCACTCGAAGAACCATATTTTCTGTTTTAGTAATTTCATGGGATAAAGATGAGGATTTTTAGGTATGTTTTTTATTCCCATAGCGTACCTTTTTAAATAGATAAACTGAAGCCAGTGGTGCTGTGAAACTAGGTGTGCCAGAGTTATATGTGGCATGCAAGACCACTACCCTTGCCTCATGGATTTAGTAATGTAAGGCCATAATTTGACTATGGCATAATCTATCCTCCCTTAAAGCATCATGGCACAAAAGCCCAACTTTCAATGGCTTTATGTAATCATCCTGATTCTGTTTTTGAGCTTTCTGGAAGTCATTAGCTCACAATATCCTGCAAGCTAGCAACTGTCCAAAGTGAATTACTGTAGTAAACTGGATTCCCAGCTACCATCCGTCTAGTCAAAGGGAAATCAAGATCTCAGCAAAACTTCCTCAAGCACCTAAGAATGCAGACAGAAAAGCCCGTTGAAGCTACAGCTTTGTTTCTGAATATCAAAAGAGTTAGTGTGAAAAATGTAGAAGACCCCCCCCCCAAAAGGTGGGATTGGATGTAGAAGTAGTAGTGACTGTAGGAGATAAATCACAGTGAACCCACAATAAAATAAGGCCCTTACTGTGCCCCTAAAGAAAGGTGGGTCTCTCTTGCCCCAAAGAACAGAGAACTTAAGAGTCTCCAGTCTGTCTTAGTTCTCTCTTTGTTTTACAAACTGTATCTCTTACCTACTAAAAAAGCTATTTTCACTTGCAAAAACTACCTTTTCTCCCTCCCCATAACTGGGCATAAAATACTTCTTTGTTTTTCACAATTCTTTAGTTGCAGAACTTTTACACCACCATTTTACAGTCAGTAACAATTTTGGGAAATAATTACAACTACATTAATTGATATACGTGCTAATTGTCAGATGCTTGAAAAATAAATCACCTCTGTTCTTAGACACTGTTAATCCATCAATGGTTTCTCAATTAAGAGTTGGCAAGAATACCATTTTTTAAATTTTATATATATAAAATATATAAAATCCTTTATCTTGCATGTTAGAGTCTATATAAACTTAAGGATTAAATCCACTTAATATATTTTTTCTTGAAAATATATTAGAACAATTACCAGCAAATAATCCAGTAAACCCATACTCGGCAAAAATTCTCTTCATTGTCGTCCATGTTGATTTGGAGCCCTTCTGTGACACTAGGTAGAATAAAACAAAATAAAGCATGAATTAAATAATATTCAAATCAATACCACCACTGAAAGGTAATAAATACTCTTGAAAATTAGAGGGAATATCAACTAAATGCAATAGCTGTTTTTATTTTAGTCAAATTTAACTTTGTTCTCTCTTAATTTTGGCTGTACTGATGGCAAACAAAGGAGTTATTTTACCTGTCTTGAGGATGAGGGGCTCAAATATGTAGGCTGCCCTGGGGACAGAGGACAACACCAGTCCTCTCTCACCACAGCAGCTTGGGGCCAGGTGAGAAGCACCTGTCCATGGCCACTGCACCTACGGTGGGCTCATCCAGGGTAGGGAGGCATATCCATCAGCTGGGGGACAGAGACACACACAAACAGACAAACTCTCTCTTTGCTCCCATAAAGCTGGCCTGGTTTACTGTATTCCAAGCGAAAAGCCTAGAATGAAAGGGGATCCTAAACTTTAAAGATGCTGGCCCTGGAAGGAAAAGGATCGAGTGAATTGTCAGCAATAGCAGCTAAAAATTAGCATCTGGCAAACCGATACAAAGGAACTGCAGCAAGCAGGTTAGTTATCCCAACTCAGAGACAGAATTACACTAGGGCTACCTGTGCTATGGATAGAGAGGTTAAGCCTAAGTAAAGGAACATGAATACTACACACTTTTTTATTTTAACCCACTTTCCTAGATGCCGTATTCCTTTTGACAAATAAATATACTTTGAAGAAATTGTTTTTATTTTACTGGAATTAGCTACTGTTGCAGGGCCCAGAGGAAATGTGCTTATAGAGGCATACATAGGAGGGCCTGTTGGGCGCAAACAGTTGATAAACGGGGGGAACCACTTCTCAGAGATCCAGTCCTTGATTTGTCGAACCATGTGGTTTCACCCAGAGAGGAGAGAAGGTAGGAAAACCTTTCACTCTAAAGCAGGGATGAGCAATATGTGGGCTGTAAGCCACTTATTGCCCATCCTTTCTCTAAGGGTACACTCAACAGGGACTAAAAGAGGTCTAGAGCATAGCTTGTCCTGTATCCATGAGAACAGCATTCATATAAATGTTAAGTTCTCATGTTAAAATCCATTAAACCAAACCGCATATTTACCTATACTGAAACTTTAGTTATAAACTTTGTTTTTTGTAGTATGCAGTTCCGTTTAATTTAGTGAACAGTATTAGGAAATACTGGCATAATAATTTTTTTTAAAGAAAAAAACTGGCTCGCTGTGGCAAATTGAATCTACAAGGTCACTTTATGTAGGTGTGGAAAAACACCCAGTGTCTTATGCCACTGATTGCCTCTAAAATTACACTTATGCTATCAAATCCACAACACCATGTGTGCGTCCACATATAAGAAGATCTTAAACAGACCAACTGTTTTTTTTTATATTTAGTTCCTGACATACTATTCTCATTGTCTTATAATACCAAAATGGTAGAATATGCCTTATGTGGAACAGTAGCCAATTGTGAACAAGAGTTAAAATAGGGAGGCAAAGAATGCTTTTTGTCTTCTCCATCCCGTTAAGTTATTGGAGTATGCACTCTTACCTAGTTCACCATTATGCCCCTATCTCTCATTTGTCTTTTCATTATAGACCCCATTAAAAAGTGATTTAAAACACCTTAAGAATAATATAGCAATTGTCTAGATTAAAGTTAAAGAATAAAAGTCTTTAAGGAGAGCCAGTACTGACTTTCCTATTTTCTAACAGTCTGGGTGGAGCTAGATGTGAAAACAATTTTATCAAGTTATTCCAGTCAGCTCCAGAGTTTTTCCACAGAACATTGTTCAAGTTCAGTTTATAGAAGAAACTTAGAAAAAACTGCCTAAAAGATTTATATTTAATTTGGATAAATATTGGGATCACCTAAGACCTTATTCCACTCAGTTCAATTCTAGAATTCACCACTCATACCTTTTTGTTTTGGTCTCCCCTAGGGCTGTACCCCGGGTGCTATCAAGTCCCTGTAATTAAGCCCTCCCAGGGCTAAGCTGTTATCAGTGTCTGTGTTACTCTATGCCTTTTCTGGCGGAGACCAGCACTTTTGGCTCAGCAGGACAGGGTGGTGAAGGCACTGAAGATGGCAGATAGGCAGGCTCAATGATATGATCAGCCCATCAGATAACAGTTTCAGGGGGATCACTGTAACTGAACTCCTCACAATTATATCACACACTTCATGTTCGGTTTGATTGCTTTTCAGGAACTAATCCATGCATAGCATGCTCTGTATATTATAACCAATGCAGTTCATTATAACCTGATGTTCACATTTTAGATTTATCTCATTCATTGTCCCTAGTACCAGGGTATTCTTGCTTATCCAGCTATAGCGACTCCAACCTAATTCTTGTTACACTATCATCTACAACTTAATTTTCCATACATACCCTCTGAGAAATGTCAATTAATGTCAAATTAAGCTCGCAATAATGTTGTCCAGTTTTTATTAACTGAAACAGTATTACCAGTAAAAACCTCCAACTTCTCACCTTTTCTCTCCTCCAAGTCATTAAAAATACATAAAATAGAACAGTTCCCATAAAATATTCCAGAAGAATTTACAGCATATGAAAAACAGAACAGGATGCATTACAGAGTTTTGAGATACATCATAGGAGAAAGGATATAGGTTGATTTAAAATCCTCACTGGAAACCCATATAATTAAACAGCATTATGTTTTGATTTCCCACTTTTATTACTTTCAGTTAGTAAGTAATATGCACTCCAATTCAATTCCTCTTCTTCCCATTTAAGCCTCACAATAAGACATAAATTGAGCATCTGGTTTTTAGTTGAACCCTCTTCCTGGGCACAATTTCACCTCTGAACAGTGGAAACAAAGATAGTTTTTGAGGTAATCTAAAATGTGAAGAACATACAGTATTCCAGTTCCAAAGAACTTACCGTTTAAAGTCTCATACGACCAGATTTCAGTTTGTCTGTGTGTTTTCACCACATCAAATGGTAAAGTCACTGCAGCTGCAATCTATTAAACAGTAAACAGATTTTATTTTATTAATATTGCACTTTAAATGTCATAACATCAACAAGCTCACTCCATAAAGTTTTGTGGTTTTGTATATATATATGACCATAGTAAATCTCACTCTATTTAACAAGTCCACGAAGCATTTCAAAATTAAATCTCATTAAATAAACAATCTAGAATAGCCGCTTAGAAAACTTAGATTGTATATAAATGTATGCATAATCCACAGAGGGCCCAATCCTCCTCATAAGGACTTCCAAAAGAAGCAGGATAGGAATCAAAATGGCTACTTCTTTTATACTGAACCTGACAATTAAAGTTTCCATTTTAATGTAAATGCCCATCTATTGTGGATTACTCAAGTGCCCTTCACAATCAACCTTTACAGTAGGTCTCATCAATGAGGTACACTTTCTCTGTAAAACGAACAGGCGGATTGCTCACTGAAGCCAGGTTTACCCTACTGTGACGTAGTGGGGGTACTTGCTGGGCTGTGGTGACCTCTGCTGTCATTATGCAAAGGTGACTCCATACCGGTTGAACCAGCCAACCCCCCATGGGGAGAAACAAAGGAAGGTGGATGCTGCCCTGGCTGGGGGCAGGGCTGGGAGAGGGAGGTAGTTCCTGGCTGGAAAGCAGGGGAGAAGGAACTGGGGAGGGGGCTGGGATTCCCCTATCTCAAAGGGGCACTGAGGCCTCTTAGCCCCAGTTCCTGTAACCAGATTACATCTGTGCTGTGCTATATCCTGGAGGAGCAATAAACCACCCTCAATTCCACTGGCTGGTGGAGTCTGTTTGTGCCATTTCGGGGTGCAGGAGACGGGGGACCCCCAACACGCCATCACACGTACAAAGTTTTGTCAGTTCAGCTAAGAGGTGGGATTCCTGTCCAACAGATGTGCCAGTGGGAGCCCTTTGTATAGATTCAATTAACATGGCAAACTATACTTTTCCTGGTATATCTTATTTTGTTCAGGGGAGCTAGAATAAGTTATAACAGCAAAAATACAATATTGCAACAGAAGATGCATCCACATTAGGAGTGCTTTGCTGGAATAGCATCCTGGCACAGCTATATTGGCAAAGAGCTCTTACTGTAGGCCTGTTCCTGAACTCTGTTGTAAACTCTGGGAGATGCTGCTTATCTGTAAATATAGCTTGCAGCAATAATAAACATAAGTCTTCTATTTGTGCAAAACTAGCGCCTTATTCTAGGGCTGTAATAGTGTAGTCGATTAACAGATAAGCTTTTGCTTATCGGTTAATGCTATAGACTATATGTATTTCCCCCTCCTCTCCACCAGTAAATTCTTTAGCAGCCTGGCCAGGAGCCCAGCTCAGTCCTGGCTCACGCCGGTCCAGAACCTACCCCCGCTGAGACTCTGCATTTAAAGTGTATTAGGAGCTAGGCGGAGAGACAGCCCAGCTCAGTTCCGGCTCACACCGGGTCTGGGAGCTCAGCCCTTCCCCATGACAGCTAATTTTTAAACTGGTTCCCCTCATGGACCAACTCCGGCCTGGCACCCTGTGCTGCTGCCTCTGTATCAGAGCCAGCAACATGGAGTGGCAGAGTGTTCCTCGGGAGTGGGGCTGGGGCGCATGACTGCTGACCCCACCCCTAGGGACTATAGAATAGTTGAGTAACCAATAAGAATTAATGAGGTTATTCAACTATTCAATTAACTGATATTTAACAACCCTGTCTCCTTCTAGATTCCTGGTGTTTCCTTTCATTTGTCTGACTTTCAAGCCCCAATCCTGAAACTGGATCCATTATCTTCCATTCCAGTGTCTCACTGAAGGATCTGGACTTTCCCACAGGTTTTACAGCCTAAAGTGACTATACTGAGATGTTTTTTTACCCATGATCAAACATATTAGATTTTACTTTACAGTACTCTATTCACTACTGATTATTTTACAATAGCAAATATGAGGTTTCTTCACCAAAACATGTAACATATACATTATAGTACTGTATTAGGCGTTTTTACACATTAGCTACCTATGAAAAAGTAGTAATTTTAAAAACCCTGAACTGTTGAGTATGAAAATACAGTAGAGCATATATGCAACAGAAAATTCTTCATGTTTATGCTAACCACAATGCTGTATTTACCATTTGTTTAAAAAAAAACTATGAAAGAATTATTTTTAAAGGGTAATTAAAACTCCAAAACAATAGCATTTTCAAATTATTGCTTCTTACTGTAAATTGTCCAAATGAATTCTGGAAACATGACACATGCATTAAACGGGATCCTGCAACAAATTCTGAGTCTCACAGACAGCCCAGAGAAGAGATTGGAAGCAAGAAGGAGAGGGTTTGCCAGAAGTATCAGTCATTTTTGTGACCCATTTGTGTAGAGGGAAGGCTACCTAGGCTGGGGCTACTGGGCAGAATATATCAAAGAGAGAGTCTTTGATGGCCACCCTCTTTAATAGTTCCTGATGTGCCTTTTTACCATTCTGGGGAACCAGTAGAGGGGACTTAGTCTCATCTGGCAACGATGAGGAGGAAGTCAGTACCAGGGAGACCTTGGCAACCAGACGTGTCCTAGCAACTTGCTTGCCCACTTCTCCCTGTGCCTGCGGAGGGCTCACAGTTGATGGAGGGGGGCAGAAGAGAGAGGCATCTGGCCTATCAAAAGCACAGATATTTAGTGGGCACCTGAGAGGGCTGAATGAACCCCCATGCATTCCATGGGTACTGTGGTGCTGGCCACAGCATTTAAGGTTAAGGGACCAGCTGTGGTGCCATCACCACTATCTTCACTGTAAGTATAGGAGCTTGTCCCACAGCTAGAGAGTCTTGCTCTGAATCCAAGCATCAGTCTGAGCAATTGCACAACTTGTGAACAAGATGGGGCTGAGCAGTGGCTCTGCTCCGACCAGTACCGGCCATTCTTCCTGGAGATGGATCTGGGAAACCTTGACAAATGCCTGGAATGGGGTCTCAGCAACCGGCAGTATTCAGTGGATGGCCCAGGGTTGGTGATCTATACCATACACTCAACATTTGGTACAGGGTTGGCGATCTATACCATACACTCAACATTTGGTACAGTAATGTGGATCAGGACCAGAAAACCAGAGCGAGCTCAGTGTCACCCTGGGGATCCGCAGTCGTTTGGAGAACAGTACCATCAGTCTCTTGACCTATCTCTGGAGCAGTACTGGGGCCATAGAGATTCTGGGCACCAACTCCAGATCTCCGGCTGGGCAGCATGTGCCTCCAAAGGTCTGCGCCCAGTCACTGGCAAGCTCTTCCATGAGCCCCTCTGCTCTTTTTTGAGATCTAGAGACCCAACAAGCCTCTGGAGTTCCTGCCTATTCCAGTTAGAAGTGTGGCAGATGTGAAGGTCAATCATTGACGGGATACCCCCCACAATAGGGAGTGTTGCCGTTGTGGTGGGGACCATGGCAGTCCAAATGTGAGTTTTATCCTGTGACTGTGACACGGCTGGAGTTGGAGCAGGTGGCACTGGAAGAGATATGAAGTCCTGCACTGTCTACTGGGCCACTGGGATAGATGGTACCCAGAGCTGCTAAAGACCACCTTCGCTATCTGGGGTAGCCAGTGAAGAGTCTACAGCACTCGACCTAAGCTGGGACCCAAGAACCCGAAGAGGGTGAAGTGTTGCCCTACTCTTGGTCTTGTCCACCCCAGACTTGTCCTTTTCCTTGCAGGAAACTGGAGACCTTCCCCTCTCTGTCTTCCTGGACTTCTTGGCTGGAGCCATGGAAGGGAAGTGGTGCCAACTTGTGCATGATACCAGCAGGATGCTATGCACTGAATCCACAGTGCTTGATGCCGAGTTGGAGTGCTGCTCTGGTATTAGGGTGAGGACAGACTCCATAAGGAGTGCTTTTAAATAAATGTCACACTCCTATGTCCTGGGCATGAATAACTTGAAAATTCTACACTTATCGCAAATGTGACCTTTGCCCAAGAACGGTAAACAACTATTATGTGGACCACTAATAGGCATGGACTTCAAACAGTGACCCCAGGGCTTAAAATCTGGGAACCAGGGCATGCCGCATCCTAGGCGAAGTCCTGTCCAGGACCTACTAAATCTCTAACTATTCTAGAGAAAATCTCAGAGGGTTAGCCATGTTAGTCTGTAACTGCAAAACAATGAGGGGTTCTGTGGACCTTAAAGACTAATATATGTATTTGGGCATAAGCTTTCATCGGTAAAAAACACTTCATCAGATGCAAAAGGAAAACTATCCTAGAGAGAAAGTATATACAATAAAATGGTAGGGGGAAAAAGTTTGAATTAATGAAAAGCAACAGTACTAGCTGAAGTGGCAGAGTTTTACCACCATCATTGGCGGCAAGAAATAACTTAGGGTGTGGAGAGCCAGCCTCACTCCAAGTACTGCAGCATGTGCCTGCCACTCCAAAGGGAGCCACAGCTGGTTCCCAAAGCATACTGCTGAGAGAAAAAATTCCAGCACCAGTGCATGTGGCGAGTACACACACCCAAGTTAAATGGATATGAACAATCACCCAAAGAAGAAAGGCATTTTATGAAAAGCTAAAGACATGCTGATTCTAGCCTTGTGATCAACAACATATTCACAATTTGTGGGAGAAGCTCATGTAATTTCACTCCAAGTGCTTCATTAATTACAATTCATTGTTTATTTATTAGAAACTTCTTAAATTAAAACATTTGGGTTGGACCTCCCTGGTCTGGCACTCTCAGGACCGGACTGGTCCCGAACCAGAGAGTTTGCTGGACTAGGAGAGGTCAAAGCTTCTCTCTGGACTGTTGTGGTCCCTGGAGACTGAGCTCCCCTGCCCTGCTGCCAGCCCCATTCCAAAGCTACCAGCCTCCTTTGACTCTCCAGCTGCCACTGACCCCACTGCAGCCAGGGTTCCTGGCCAGGGCCAGAGATTCCCCCTGGGCACCACCAGCCCCGCTGCTTCCAGGGTTCCCAACCAGGGCTGGAGATTCCCCCAGCCACCGCGAGCCACATTCCCACAAGGGATTCCTTCTGGCCATCGGCGGCCCTGCTCCTGCCGCGGTTCCCAGCTGGGTCTGGGGATATTTTCCAGCCAGCACTCGGGCTTCAGCTCCCAGGGGCTGGACTCCCCACCCACTGCAGGACCAGCCCCTGCCAGCCCAGCCAGGGCTCTCTGGTCTAGCAACATCCGGGGTCCTTCCAGATGATGGATGTTGCTGAACCAGAGAGTTTCAGACTTGGGCGGTTCAATCTGTATTGGCATGGGGGGTGGTAAAGGATATGGCATTGAACAGATCACTTTGGAGGAAGAGGACTCAGAGTGAACCCCATGCAATGGGATCAATGCAAGGTAGAATTTGCTTAGTAATATCAGCAACAGAAATATAGACTTACAGAGCCAGCTGCTGCCCCTGAAGTAAAGCTGATTACAAATGTTGGCTCACGTGCATCAAATTTCTTGCACAACTTCTTCTTGAAGCGTTCATAGTTATACCAGTACAATGCTATGGGGTACAGAAAAACAAACAAATCTCTGAAACCAGAAACTTGCAACAAGCAACATAAATCTGTATACCAAACACAGCAGAACTAACTTATTCCCCTTCTGTATTTCTTACATATCTGAAAGTACAAACTGCTCTTTGGCTGTTCTTACCTCGAGAATGTCAGAGAAAAGAAAGCAAGAAAAATCTAAATAAAACCAAAACGGGGAGAGAGAGTCATGAAAATATAGAAAAGGATGCAATTTTAAAAAAAGAGGAAGGGGACAGAAAAGACTGTGAAAGAAAGGGAAGAAGAGAGGGCTGGCACAAATAAAAAAAATGGGGGCACAAAATGAAAACACTGAATAAGTAGGTTATATGTCACTGGGGTGGAGGGCCACTCTAAGAATTTGGAAAGTGGTTAAGGGCTTCATTCTTCCATATTAATGGAGGAGGTGTGAGGTCTGGGATGGAGGTTGGGTGCTGAAGGGAGCTTGCAGTAAGGGACTGGGGTACAAGAGAGGGTGTGGGGTTTGCGAGGGAGTTTGGGTGAAGGAGGCAGTTGTGACATGGGTTAGGGGTCTAAGGTGCAGGGATTTGGGCTATGACCTTGGGCAAGAGGGAGTTGTGTCCTGGGTAAGGGGACTAGGGTGCAGGAAGGGATGGAGGAGTTTGGGATGTGACCTGAGGCAGGAGGGGGTTGTAACCTGGGGCAGGGGATTGAGGTGCAGGATCTGGGAGGGGATATGGGTGCCGGAGGGGGCAGAAGGTTTGGGTTATTTGGGGTAGGAGTGCAGGAGTAGGGATGTTAAATTTAAATTAATTAACTAATAGAATAGTCGATGGGATTTCTATCCATTATTTGATTAGTGGATAAGGACACCTTTGCCTTTGAACTGTAGCAAGAGCCCAGAAGGTGGGGGAGCGACTAGTCACATCACTAGTCAACTATCTGATAAGCTTATGCTTATTGGATTTAGCATATTTAGTAACGCAATTACACGTTTACTTGAATAAAAGTATTTTAACACCTCTAGTCTCAATAGGATGGGCCTCTGATCACTTCATGTTTCGATTATTACAACATACTTTTCTCTGGGCTAACAAATGGAATCTTACTGCACTGAAATTCATGCAGAATTCTTCTGTAGCAAAGATCATTTTCCTAATCCTTCACTTTGATCCTCACATCCTTATTTTTGCATGACTCTCTATTGCATCAACTATGAGTTGCTTGTCTTCACTTCTAAGGCTCTTTCAGGTTTATCACTGTCCAATCATCTAATATTCACTATCGAATTTGTCAACACTTGCCTCCAATCATCACATGCAACATCATGCAAGTGATACTGTTCTTGGGTTCAACATCATGCAAGCGATACTGTCCATGGGTTCAAGGACTAGCATTTGTTCCATTAAAACCATCTAGTAAATATGCACAATATGATTAGATGGATATAGTCTGTTAGCTTATCATTCTGGCTTTATTCTAACAAGGAAAGAAAAATCACATTTCATTTGAAGAAACTGACCCAGGAATTAAAAGGGATTTTAAAATAAAACTCTCAAGTGGATTTCAAGAGTGGTGGATTCTGCATGATGATACAGAAGAACAACGGACTGGCTTCAAAGATGTCTGCAAGCAAGCTGATATAACTTAGTTTGGACCAAGAAGATCAAGAGAAAGGGAAGCGATATAGCCACATACATGGAAATTGACTGAAGAAAGAAAAGCCCTTAAACAAAGAGGCAAGTACAGAAGACACAAAAGGACCACCACCTATTGCAATGGGTTTATTAGAGACAAACAAAGAAGTAAAAAAGTTATGTAGCAAAGATAAAAAGTATGGCCCGATTAAAAAAAAATAGTGACTGAAGCCAAACACATGTCAATGAGAGGTGACTAAGAAACTGTTTCAGGTGTGAAAGTAATTGTTATCATGATTCCAGAGTCGCAATAGTATCATAAAGTGAAAGATGGAGGATTGTTAACAAAATAAGTGATCAAAAGAAACAATCAGAACACTAGAACTAGAAGGGACCTCAAGAGGTCGAGTCCAGTCCCCTGCACTCATGGCAGGACCCAATACTGTCTAGATCATCCCTGGAGGGGGAGAAGCGCTGGTTGGAGCCGGTGAGCTGCTCCTGGGAGCTGCCACCAGAGTCCCAGCAGAGACCATGCAGAACTCAGCTGGAGTGCTGCAGAGCAGGGTATGTTTGGGCTCTGCTGGTGTGCTCTGTGCATGGCCCTTTCTCCCCCTGCCCCTTCCCACTCCACTGGGGGAGCGGCAGTGCACGGACCCGCTTGCTCTGCCACGCTCTGCAAGTCAGATCTGGGAGGGTGGAGGCTTTCTCCTCTCCACTCCCCCCTCCTCCCGCGCTTTTCCTAATGGGAGCCAAAGCTGGTGCGGGGACTGGAATGCGGCACTAACATTAGCAGGTGGCCCAGCTCTAGGCCTGGCAAGCGGTCCTGCCTTGGAAACAGCTGGGGCCAGGGCTGCAGAGACTTCTGGGTCCCAACCACAGACTCCAGCCCCGCAAACTGGAAGGCAAAAGGTGGGGGTGGGGCTCGGAGAGAACCAGGGGAAGGAGAGTGGATGAGGAAGAGACTTATGCTGAGTAGAGGGGAGCAGGGCAGGAGAAGAAAAGGGAAGGCACCAAGGGACAGGGTAGAGGGGGGGAGAGGCTCAGAGAGAACTAGGGGGAAGGAGGGTGGGAGAGGAAGGGGCTTGTGCTGAGGGGAGGGAGGCAGGGCAGGAGAAGAAAGGGGAAGGCACCAAAGGACAGCGTGGAGGAGACACAAATGCCAAGGGGCCAAGTGGAGACAATGAGGAAAAGGAGGAGGGAGGGGAGGTGTCAGCGGGGGTGGGAGGGTGGAGGAGACAGGGTGATGCTGGGAGAGGAGAGGGGAAGGGCATTGGGGGCAAGAGGAAGCAAGGGGAGAGGGAAGTGCTGGGAGAAGGGTTGAAAGGAGGGATGGGAATGAGGAAGGCGGGGATGGAGCAAGTCATGTGTGAGGGCACAGAGGGGCATGGGGGGAATTGGGGCAGAGGGTGGTGAGAGGATGGGTATCAGGGAGAAAGAGGGCAAATGGGCAGGCGCAGCGAGGAGAGGAGGAAGCACCAGGAGGTGCAGGGGTAAGGGAAGGTGCAGGTGCCAGGGGGTGAAGCACCTGCAGGGGAGAGACCAGCACCAGAGGAGAGAGGGTTTGGTGGGGGACAAACTCATCCCTGTGTGTAAGAGGATAGTGGGAAAAGTTCTTAGAGGGGGTTACTTTTACTTCTGGTCATGTGTCCATCTTGACCCCAAGAGTCAGGGGCATAGTAAACAGAGGTTAGGGGGTATAGGTAATATGTCTCTAATTTTGGTTCAGAAAATATGGCCACCATACATGGAGAGAACAGAGTTCAAATGGCCGTCCTTAAAAGGGACAAGCTTCCTTCTCTTTTTTTGCTCAACAAAAATCCTTGGTGTTCCCCACAAAAAAAATTTTTTTTTGGTGTTCCTCAATCTTAGAAAGTTTAAGAAACACTGCTTTAGATTGAAAAGACTGAGCATATTATATCACTGCCTGGATACAAAGGGTTTGCCTACAAGAGAAGATTAACCTCAAACATCATAGACGTCACCAAAGCTTTAAAATGAATTCATAATCATAACCATGGAGAGACAACTTGGGTTTCCTAGAAAAATAGAATCACTAACCAAAAAGCTGTATGAAGATTCAAAATGATGTGTAAGGGCAGAGAGTGGAAAGATCAACTGGTTTGAAAAGATGACTGGAAGAGCAGCAGAAATTGCATCTTACAACATCTTTTTCTCTGTATTTTGACATATCGGAAGATACAAAGAGAGACAGAGAAGAGCAAAACTTACATGGAGAAGAAGAAAACTTCAAGATCTTGACTTTGTGGATAACATGTTTTGTTGGACACAAGTGAGGATGCCATGAAAAAAGTCCACTATCAATGTCAAACATGAAGCCGCCAAAGTAGAATTAAGAATCAACCAAAACAAAAGAAAATTCATGATAATTGAAAGAGGAGTCAGCGCTGATGGTATTAATGTGCCCGATAGCGATAAATATGGTATGGTTAACAAGCTGTGTATTTTGGAAGCACAGTCAGTGCTGTTATTCATCTCCATAAAGACGTGGACATAAGAATTAGGAATGCAAGTGGAGCTTTGTTGGGATTGGCAAATATTTGGAGAGCTAAGGGGATTCACACAAGGACCAAGATAAAGTTCAATAATGTCAATGTGTCATATGCTTCAGAAACTTAGCAAATGCCAGAAGCCCACAAGAGAAAACATAATAAATTTCATCAGAGATACTTGTGGAGAACACTTGGTGGACATTGGTGGGATAATGTAAACTATGTTGCCAATACCAACTGACTGTGGAAAGACAGTAATTCAAGAAAGAAGGCTAAAAAGTCATTTGAGAACGTTGCACAGATGCCAAAAAAGATTCTTAGACAAGCCATTGACTGGATGGGAAAAGGGTCAACAGATGACATATAATAAAATATCAGATGTCTCTGTCATGGAAGTAGACTACAATGAAACAACAAATATGGCACTAGACAGAAGGAAACACTGGGCTGCCTTAGTGAGTTGCACAAGAGCATTTAATAATAATAATTAGTGTTTCACTTGCAAATGTATTTCTGAGTATGCAAAAGCTCACACAGATGTCTTACTCTCTATAAGCAGAAGTACAAAACCTTTTATTGTGCAATCACTTGAAATATTTCTCAACTATCAGATGTACCTAGAGTTGCTTGCATCTTTAACTGAAGTAAATTTTTTTGTTCGGAAAAACAAATGAAAAATATACACACTTTATTTCAATTATTGAATTTTTCAAAAATGAAGGAAAATAAAGGCTGGAGTGAGAGTTCAGGGTGAACAAAGGGTGATGGTGGTTGGCTTAGGGCACAGGATTGGGAGGTATGGGGGGCTTATGACAGGGAATGGGAGTGCAGAAGTCAAGGCATGTGGGAGGTGCAAGACTTAGA